CCCATTTGGATGCACCACTCTGGGCTCTCACGTTGCCCAGTATTTATTCTGAGCACCCAGAAGGTCTATGGAGAAGAGACTGTGAGTAGATGTGAATTTCCCTTGTGTTTGAAGATCACACAAGTTCCATACTGCTAACTAAGCCACATTCAGACTTTAGACAATTATTGACAATTTTTGGGTGAATTCTTACTGATTCGCAAGGGGTCTCCTACCTGCTCCAGAAAGCAAGTGCTTGCGTTCTGTCACTCCTTGGAGGCACTTTACTGTCTCTAGGTTTGGGATTAATCTGTCACCCTATGACCTCAGCTCTCCGAGGAGTTTAATAGCATTTCTAAGTTTGCATATTACTTAGGATGTTTATTGCTTTACATTTGGGAATGATGCCCTTTCTAGCTTTGGACACCTTCAGTGGAAGCTGGAAGTCTGATATACACAGTCTTAAAAATTTCTCAAATATCCTGTAGAGCAGCTGGAGATTTTCAGAGGTTAAGCAGCTCTTCTGTGTGCAGGAGATTTGAAGCAGTTCTTTCCTAACCATACACTCCAGTCCACTCCACACTGCTGTTCTTACTCCTGTGTAGACTGATGGTGTGTTAACTATTGACTCTCCAAGGCAGAGTTTATATTCCTCTTTTTACCTATTCCTCAATGTAGATTTAGACGCTAGTGCAGAAAAATACTGGGTAGGATGAGGGGGAGAATGATGGTGGAGCAGTTTATCACTGTGGGTACCAGGCCTCCTCTCATCTCTCTCTCAGAAGTTTCAAATTCGGATGCCTGTAGGAGCCAGGAAAGAAACATCAATGAGTAAAGTGTGCTGGGTCTATGTGGGCTCTCGTTTTCCTTGACACTCGTGGCCCTGTTTTTGTTAGTGACAGAGGAAAATCTTTCTTTATAAGAGAAACAGCAGTGCAAGCTAAGGATTGGCAGAGTTTTTAAAATTGGGGCATACATTGTGAGGGCTCCTGGACACTCCCTATTGTCTTAGAGCCACCCTTGAATATTACCCATCTGCCTTGAGATCACTTCATGCAACATTACCTAAATATTTTTCAAGCACCCACTGCTTCTGAGGCTCTGCTCTTCGTTCCAAGGGTGTAGCAATAACTAAAACGACTCCTTAAAGGAGAGGACATTTTGGTTTGTGGTCTGCAGTAGGGAGGATGGGACCTGTGGGCCTGGAGAGTATTGCTTGAAAAACATGCTGCCGCCACTCACCTCTGGCCAATTGCTGCCAACCGTGAACGCTGACCCTGTGTTGCCAAAGCTTTTAATTTTCCAAGACAAATCAGAAATTGGATTTCTATTTTAAGTGGCAACTTTCTTATTTTTAAACATTGGCTCAACGTTTTAAAAATCACTGTGGAGGTTAAACAAAATGTGTCTGTAGACAGAATCTGGCTTGCGACCTCTGTTAAACACCGTCTCTGCCCTTGCTGGTCTGCTTGAGAAGAGAAATGCAATGAAACGACAGCTGTAGCCATGTTAATTCCCTTCTTTGGAAGCAATGAACCAGTCGTCAGAGATTTGGCAATTCCAGGGCTTAATTTGCAATATAAGGCCAACAATTTCAGTGAAAGCCATTTTAAAATCAGCCTTCAAATCAACAAACAACAAAATGACTATACAAATCAGCAGTGCTTATTAACCTGGACTCAAGAGAGTGTGGCCAACAGGTTACTTGCAAGCAGGGGATATTGCAGTTATTAATCTGCTTGCAAGTTGGAGACTGGCTTTTAGAAAATGATCCCTACTGTAGGCCACTTGCATTTCTATAAACGTGCTACACTGTCATCCAAACCTGCAGCTGCAGTGTGAGTTTTGCAATGGTGCCTGTTTGTTTATTTATTAAGTCTAGAGTTCTTGATAAAGCCTAAGGTTATTATTATTGTTATTTTTGGTAAATTTATAGTGTTTATAATTTATTTTTCTTTTTTTTTAAGCTAACTACTTTGGACTTTTTTTGTTTTTTTGACAGTGAAGGTCTTTTTTTTTTTTTTTTTTTTTTTTTTTGTTTTTTGCTTTGTCGCCCAGGCTGGAGTGCAGTGGCTCAATCTCGACTCACTGCAACCCCCACCTCCCAGGTTCAAGTGATTCTCCTGCCTCTGCCTCCTGAGTAACTGGGATTACAGGCATGCACCACCATGCCCGGCTAATTTTTGTATTTTTAGTAGAGACGAGGTTTCATCATGTTGGCCAGGCTGGTCTCAAACTCCTGACCTCAGGCAATCCACTCAGCCTCTCAAAGTGCTGGGATTACAGGTGTGAGCCACTGTGACTGGCCAACAGTGAAGGTCTTATAGATAGTTTAGCAAATGAATCCATTTTCTGATTGGCTTCATACTTTGCCAGTTACTCGAGCAATAGGTTTTTTGTGTTTTTAAAGGAATGTGGTAGCTGATCATTAATAATCACTAACTTGTTGAAATTATTACATACTGACAGATTCTCCTCATTGTCTTGTGAACTTCTTGTTCTCATTTTCTTCACCACTCTTTGCTCACGTGTTTCTTCCATTTCCCTTTTCCCGTTTGACCGTTTGTCTGTTCCTCAAAGTTCACTCTGCTGCCTGTGCACGTATTTACGGGGTCACTGCATCCTCCGTGCTGATCCAGCTCCTCTGGCCTCTGGAACCCAGCCTCATACCTCTTCTTTATCCCCACCACTTGTCAGAACTCCTTAGCAGCTGAAAGCCTATTTTCCACCTTTTAACAATTCTTTCCCACTTTTGAGGTCTTTGAACTAAGCCCTGAGGAGTTGCACTGGAAACACATTTTTATGTGTCAATATATCCATTACAGCCAACAGCTTGCCAAATCTGTTCATGCTCTAAAGCCAGGTCCCATGTTTACTGATTTTCCTTGGCTCAGGATGGGTCATTTGCTTTTCATAACCCATGTTCTGCTGGTTGTCCCCCATTTGTGAGGGTCTGACTACAACCCCCAAATTCTAGCTCATACAAACTCAGTGACTGACATGCTTTATTGAAATAACGCCTAATAGAACCTGTCAGAGATTCCTAAGTGAGGAGGCACCCTGGGCCACTCCCGTTGTTCCTGAGACCGGGCAATAGACAGCTGTATGCCTCCCTGGGTGACAGCAGCTTTTTAAAATGATACAACACTCCCTTCTCTCAGGCTGCCTTCTGGATTCAACTCTACATTTTGTCTGAGATAATGAGGAATTTTGATCTTATTTTACAATTATATTGGGTCTTACTCTACTGAGACTGTATTCTGAATATTTGTGCAGAAAGGCATTTAAAATGCAGCCTTCTATGAAGGAAGACAAGTGGTCTGCCTTATTTGAAGTTTCTTAAGCATTCTATTTATGTTAATAGAGGTAACCTGGGCTTTTTGGCTTGTACACTTTGGGTTATATGTCTGCAAAATAAATTCATGGTGACAATTAACATGAGCAATGTTACAACTTACAAATATTTTCAAAGACAGGTATTAACTATTAGATTAAGGCCAAATTCAAGGGAAAAAAAATTCTACTCCACATATATTCCTAGAAATAGATTCTTTAGAATTACTCTTCAGTCGCTGTGCTGTGGAAAACACAAACAAGTCAAACTTCAATTTCTGCCAATTGTTTAAATTTTTTAAATCTTGACACTGGTTTTTTCTTTTAAATAATTTCACATGTGTTTCACTTATTTTAGGAAGTAATTCAATATAATCTTTAAAACTCTTAGGTTACTTTTAATAAAAAAGTAGGAGTTTTTAAATTAGCACTAGAAGGACTAAAATCTTGCATTTTTCAACATCGATACTATTCAAAAGCTCATATACACTTTGTGAAGTAATTTTTGAAAACAATAATAGATAGTTCTGAATAAAAATAGTGTCACGTGTATCATTCATACACAATGGGCTTTATTTTACTGCCAAGTACTGATAACCATTTCAAAAGGGCAAACTTCGAGTTTAAAGTTTAAAAGACTCTTTTTTTTTTTTTTTTTTTTGAGACAGGATCTGGCTCTGGCACCCAGGCTGGAGCGCAGTGGCACTATGTCACCTCATTGCAACCTCTGCCTCACAGGCTCAAGCCAGCCTCCCATCTCAGCCTACCAAGTAGCTGGGACTCCAGGCGTGTGCCACCATGCCTGGCTATTCTTTGTATTTTTTGTAGAGATAGGTGTCTGACTATATTGCCCAGGCTGGTCTCAAATTCCTGAGCTCAAGCAATCCAGCTACCTTGGCCTCCCAAAGTGCTAGGATTACAAGTGCAAGCCCCCATATATGGCCTAAAAGATTATTCTGGTGAATGTTTGCAATAATTTAATAAATGCTGGGATCATCACTCTTTAAAAAAATTCCATTTATTCTAATTATGTGGGCCCAGACTCTGTTCTGGTGTAGTATTTCTGTCAATTAAAGTAATATCAAATGTAATAGTTTGCGGATTGACCTTAATAATTTATTGTATGACTTTAAGGAATTTTAAAAATGAGTGTTAAAACCACATTTCCTTTTATTGTAATTTTTATATTTTATATCTTTGCTGGATGATGTTCTTAGGGTTTAATCTGCTTAGCCCCTCAGTACACATATTTATCATTGACTTTATCAGATATTATCTACTTATGACTGTTGCAAACCTGGATCACAACTTTTAAATGATAAACAGCACAGACACCTAAGGTATGCAGCAGCAAGCTGGCATTGTAACTTCAATGCAATCTGAATTTGTCACTTTTGGGGAATAAAATAGGACATTTAAGCCATCTCAATCAAATCTGAAGTTTTCCTAGAGATTGCCTTTGTAAAACATTTTGAGAATGTTGACTGACCCTCAGTTTATTAGGAGTCTGGCTTAAGAAACAAGCAACAACAATAAAAGTAAGACATTAGCTTATATCCTGTTGACTTTATACTTAGATTTTTCGGAACCATTAAGTAGCACTGTAGCTCTCCAGTCTCACATTGTTTAACATAGTTCATAGTTGGGTCTATTTACCTTGGTTTTTAAATATTATTTTTCTTTTTTAGGGAAACTGGATTAAAATCTGCGCATTGCCAAGGGCAAGAAGCTGAGAACATGGAGAGAGAGGTAAGATCGATGTCACAGTAGGCCCCTCCTTAATTTTCTTCCTTTAAAAGCAAGGCTTTCAAGCTTGACTTTTCGTTATCCGTGGATGGAAAGTATAGAAGTGAGTAGAAATGTAACTTCCTTTGTAGCACTCACCAGTAAAGAGGCTGATTAACGAGTGTAGCAGGCAATGTCGTAGCAAAAGAGAGTCTACGGAAGAGAAACAAAAGTGCCTCAGAATTCGCAAGGATTCTCATGATCCATAGTAGGACCTCATGGTGCCTGTCCGCTCTTTCTATTTTTGAGTAGATTTATAAACACAGCAGCACATATTTTCATGTGGCTTATCGCCTAGGGGCAGAATCAGATTGGCTGCACTGAAACTGTGAGGCTTGTGAATTTTGGGCAAGGGCTAGAGTGAAATAAGTAGTGTAATTGTTTTTGTGGAGTGACCGTGGGACCTCCTCTGTTCTGAATTACACATGGCTCAACCCTTTGACCTGACCAGACTCTGCAAAGGCTGGCAGGACTCCTAACGCTGTGCTGAAAGGGTCGTCGCTGAACAAGCTGGAACGTTATCTGTCAGGCCAGATGTGGGCCAACAACTAGATTCAAATATATTAATTACTAGTGGGACACATTTGCGACCACTTCGACTTCACTTAACCCATCATCATATAAGTTATTATTTCAACAGGAAGTGCCAATGCGGGGAATGTTTAGAATCCAAATGTAGCACAGATCCTTTGATAAATACATTATTAGGCTATTTTTTTTTTTTTTGTTTACTAAATTTTGGATCATCTTTGAGAATATTTTGCCTAATAATTCAAACATTATTATTTTGAGTCTTTTAATATCCCCAGGTTTGGGGGGAATGTCATAAGCCATGATTAAAACTCTTTCATCTCAACGAGTTTAATTCTTTCAAAATAGATGGTAATCCACTGATATAATTCCTTGAAAGAATCAAAGCTGGGGGAATGCAGAGAACTGGGAAAAGATTTGGGAGAATCATAGGTGCTGACATTTGTGCAATTGTGGAGAATTCATTCTGTGATTCACATGCTGATGAGTTGGATAAAGATGTTTATATCTATCTAGGTATGATTTTGAAGTGACACCCTTGAATTTTTGTTTTGGATTCAGTAGCTTAAATTTGCAAAGGCAATCTAAGCAGAAATCTCAAGTTTATTTTTAGGCCCTTGACATTATTACCAAAACTAGTTCTAATTCTGGAATATGCCTAAAATTTTTTTTAATTGTCTTTCCTTGCCAATGCTACAAAGTAAAGGTCTCTGTAGGTATTTTATGTTTATACCCACATGCAAATAATTTAGCATTTAAATTTTTGCTTTCTTATCTGAGGCAACTCAGGCTGAATATTAATTCACTTCTTAGTTACATGACACTTAAAATTTTCTTTAAAGAGTACATAACTTTATATGTACGTGTGTATGTGTGTGTGTGTTTTGAATTGTATTTTTCTCTTACTCCAGGGACTCTAAACATGAAAACGGGGAGGTCCTCATCAAATCAGTTACAAAGAAAAAAAAAAACCACTAAAATATCCTATAAGCCCCCCAACAAAACTGCATTCAGCCCTACCCAGTCTTACTCTCATTAGCAGTGAAGGGTTTGCTCTCCACACAATCTAACATGGAATGCTTAGAGCAGACAGGTGCAAATTGCAAGCTGTTTCACTTTGGCTGTTATCCCTTGAATCGACAAAGTAATAGACTGGGAGAACAAAAAAGGTTCCAGCTCAAGCTGCATAAATGAAAGTCTTAACAGGGACACACCAGCTGGCTAGGAGAATTCAATGTAGTGAATACTAAACATTACCTTTGTGCCACTTGCCAAGGAAAAGGGCTTCAGTGACGCCCTCTCCCTTTGATGTTTGAGATGATGTGCCTTCAAAATCGTATTTTGCTTTATTGTAAAGGCGATACTGTGGCCGAAGTGCATGAGAACGGGATCCAACATACCTGTTCCTGTAATGTTGCCATCATTACACTCCTCCGAGCGATTCAGGCATGATTAGGTTCCTGGAGTGGGACCAGATTGACAGTATTTCTATCCATGTCTTTTTTGGCTGATCCAAGCAAAGCCCCAGAGCAGTGAAACAAGAAAACACAATCACTAGCACCCCCGCTTCCCCAGCAAGATGAATCTGCTGAGCTAGGCTGCTGAAAAAAACAGTCGTTCATATTAGGAACACCTAATTTCATTTCACGGAAGAGCCATGCCACGCCGCCGGTATGCCTAGGAATCTAATGTATGCGTATCCAAAAAGAGACCCTAACTCTGTCATCCCAAAGTTGCTTCTCTTTGTGACTTCCCAGTGTGCACAGGAACTGTTGTCTGCAAGAAGCAACTTTCACTTGAGCTCTGAGGCCACCGACTTGGTCTGACCCGGCAGATAAGGGTAGGAAGAAAACTGGAGCTGGCCTTGTTTACAGCCGGACAGAAGAAAACAGCCAGACACAAATGAGGGGTGACGGTTTCATGAAGCACAATTGGTTGATCCCAGATGCAATCTGACTGCCCTGAACTGAGCGATGATCCGTACAGTATGCAGAATTCACTTTCTTGCTGGTCTGTGCCCACCAGCCTTGGAGGAGTGCTCCCCGCGCCCCTCAGCCGTGGCTTTGAGTGCAACCAGAGCTGAACAACTGCACCGCGGGACCCGATTCCTTCTGACAACAATCACATTCTTTTAAAAACTTCATACGTTTTGGTTGTCACTGGTTATAAATGAGTTTGTTGTTGTTCATGTTTGCTACTCTATCGTAGATTTCCTTTCAAGTTGAGAGTGTCCGCATCAAAAGGTATTTGTTGCTTTTTAACGAAAAGGAAAATTATTATCAGAAACTGTCAGTTCTTAAAAATTTCAGGTTTTCAGGGTTTTTTCTGTTCAAATCACAAAATATTGTTTCTTCCACATTATTGAATACATTTAATAGGGTAACATTACTAAAATTATTAAAAGGAACTGATTTAGCACCACTTAAACACACATATAAATACGTTACCTTTCATTTATTCAAGATGAGTAAGTTCTAGGGATCCGTGGTCCGGCATCGTGCTGACAGTTAACATTGCAGTGATTAAACTTGCGTTAAGAGGGTGGATCTCATGTTATCTGCTCTTATTACAATAAAAAATGCTTTAAAAATGTTTCCCTTTAGAGAGTTACTTTGCGTTATAGCCGCTAAATAGAAGCACGAAGGCGGAAGCCACAAAGCCTATCCATAGTAGATTTATTAATAGTTAAGATTTCTAGAGATTTTGCTGATCTCCAAAACTGAATAGATATCAATGAGAAGCAGGAAGATGCTGGTGATGAAATTTTATTTTTTTTTAATTTAATTTTTGACATACATCATAGGAATTTAGTAAGTTAATATGAACTTATTAAAATGCTAACATTCACTTAAATACACTAAGTTAACTACTGGTAATGAATGAATTGATGTAAAATATGAGTGAAGGAAGATTTTGCATGAGCTAGAGAGATAAAAATCTCATCAGGAAAGAGAGACTCTCAATTGAGAAGGGGGTAAAGGAAAATGCAATTTACACCACTTAAATGTGCCCATGTGTAAAGGAGAGAAAACAGTGAGGAAATTGGCAAAAGAGAGAAGTCGGAAATCACTCCTAATTTCCTCTTGAACATATGTTAGTAGTAAAGAGGTCACAAAATACAAACCACCGCTTGGTGATCCTCTCAAAGAATTCATCTCTGGTGTGTACAGTCAGACGCTGCTTTCCTTTTGAATATGGGAACTTGTGAAAATATGTTTGAGACCTTTATAACATTGAGAGCAAGTCCATGATTTCATTTGAAGTCCTTAGTAAGGAAATGAGGTCTATTAATAGGCCACATCCATCTATTTAAAAGCATGTTTAACTCAGTCTGCAAGGAGTGAAGTGCCAAAATTGCTGAACCATGTCAAGAAAACTAGTATCTGCTGTTTCCTCAGCTGAAGGCTGTGAAAAAAAGCAGACTTCAACCTCTTTCTTAATAAAATGAAGGAACATTTAGTGCAGTTGTGAACTACTCTTTTAAAATATTTACCAAGTTTTTAATGCATGTAGTCTTATTTATTTATTTATTTATTTATTGAGATGGAGTCTCGCTCTGTCACCCAGGCTGGAGTGCAGTGGCGCGATCTCAGCTCGCTGCAAGCTCCACCTCTTGGGTTCACACCATTCTTCTGCCTCAGCCTGTAGCTGGGACTACAGGCGCCCGCCACCAC